CCTCTCCCTTGATCCATCCTGTCATCAAACCAAAGAACAAGGCATTTGAAAGCTTGAAGCTGCAACTTGGCAAATTATCACACGACAGCGCCTTAACCAACATTACACCTTTGCCCGAAAAGACTGTATCCTTTTCTCCTGTGCCTGCAGAATTCGCCCATGAGGACCTGGGACCACCAGATCATCCGCCTCGATTTGTCCAACCACATCCTCCTTATGAAGTTTACCGTGCTCCCCTTCGCCACGCCCGAGAGCTGACCAAGCCAGGTGCTGAGAAGCGAACCTACCATTTTGATATCGACGTCACAGATTACCCTGCTGAGGGCGGCAATGTTGACTTCGTGGTTGGGGGCGCGATTGGCGTCTGTCCGCAAAATTCAGACGAGGTGGTGGATAACGTTTTTGACCTCCTTAACATTCCGAAGATGGTCAGAGATAGGAAAGTGATGGTGCGCACTACTGCCGGTCGATGGCCCACCGTCTGGGGAGATGAAAAACCTCGCAGCCTGGTGACTACCAGGCGCCAACTGCTTAGCTGGTGCTCCGACCTCCAGAGCTACCCACCCACAAAGCAAATTTTCCGACTCATGGCCGAATACGCTACTGATCGAGATGAGAAGAAGATATTGATGTTCCTCTCATCGGCGCAGGGGCAGGGGGCATTCTGCGACCTGCGCACCGACCAACATACCACCGTATCTCAACTACTATCCGCATTTCCTTCCTCCCAGCCACCCCTCGACCACCTGCTCTCCACCCTCAACACCCTCATGCCACGATTCTATTCCCTTTCGCAGGATCCCCTCGTCTCATGCACCCTCAGCGATGGCAAATGCCAGCGCCTGATTGAGATCGCTGTCACCGTCCACGAAGCCCCTGATTGGCGTGGCGGTAATCGAACGGGCGTTGGCTCCGGCTTCCTCGAGCGCAAAGCGCATCAAATTCTCGAAGCCGAGAAATCTGGCAAAGACATCTTATCCTTGGACCTGCACATCCCAATGTTCCGTGGCCTGATGTCCAACCCCCTTGCCCGGGAATTCGTCTCGGATGGCCCCATGCTTCTCATCGGAGCTGGCGTGGGCGTTGCCCCGTTCCGCGGCTTCGTCCAGCGTCGCTTGAAGTCTGCAAACTGCGCCAACAAAGTGTGGGTTCTGCAGGGGATCCGCGACTCGCTGCTCGATGAGCTTTATTCCGGCGAGTGGGGTGTGCATGAAGAGACTGTGAAGAAGGTCGTACAGAGCCGGAGTGGCGAGGGCAAGTATGTGCAGGAAGAGGTGCGCAATCAGGCGGATCTTGTCTGGTTTGTTATCAACTCGCTTGATGGGCGGGTTTTCGTTTGTGGGAGCAGCAAGGGTATGGGTGAAGGTGTTGAGTCTGCGTTGGTTGATGTTGCGATGGCGAAGGGAAATTTAAATCGCGAGGAAGCACAGCTCTTCTGGCAAGGGAAGAAGGATGCAGGTCAATATATCGCGGTATGTAATTTTCTTTTGTCCCTTTTTTTTTGCTTTCCATTTTTTCATCCAATTCGTATAGCTCAAGAGAGGCAACCACTGACAGTCCTTTCATTCTTCAGGAAACGTGGTGAAAACACCTGGCCAACATATCTCAACACCAACACCACGATGCTGGCTGTAATGCATTCGTAGATAATCATCGGCTCTGCAAGCCTTACTTCGAACCTACAATGTATCTCCCCACCCAACCTGCATCCACCTCATTCATGAGAAGAACCACTTTAGAACAGAATGTGCTGCATCGATTTCCAATTTTGAGTCTCCAGTTCATCCTCACAAAGGACTCTCGAATGGTTTTCAGACCTCCTGAAGCCTACATCCGCCGGCTCCCAACCTCCTGCCCGTCATCAAATATCCCCCGAGCTCACAGCTCTCCGGACGCCTTAGTCATACGTCATCAACATTCTTGCCCGCCTTTTTTCGGCCCTCCTGGGACCGTCCAAGTGTCAACCGGTCCCTTGACCGTGCGATTTTCTCACTTACCCTCTCATGGCAAACAGCATCCCGTATTCTTCCACAAGCAATAAAAGGTTCTTGTTTCATATGCATCTCGTTATATTTATATCATCATATACTTTCTCCCCATTTTCGTTGGCAATATTATTTGGTCCAAATTGTTGGATAGAAGAGAGAAACAAAAACCCCTTGTGCTTTCTCTTCTCTTCTTTTCTTTTTAACACGTTATCATCTTCCTATTTGTATTATTTCTAAGAAAGTTACTCATTTTCGATCGTGGTATATTCTTCCTCCCCCTTATTTGTCATTGAATCTTGTTTCTTCGTCGAAAGTATTCTTCCCTTGCATTATTTAGATGATGGGGCAGCCGCTGCTTCAAAGAGGCGAAAGCAATGATACCAAAAAAGGTTTTTTTTTTTTTTTTTTTTTTTTTGGATGGGATAAAAATAGAAAAAGAGATCAGCAATGGCCTTTAACGTTTACCATGTCCCCCTTACATCTCTTCAATTTCCTCCGTTTGTTTTTTGCAAGGGTGCACTTTTACAAGATTTCAATGGAGTTCTTTCGGTGTCTCATTCCGTATTCGCGTGGGATGCTCGTGCTGTTGAATATTTTGTTCAAGGACTGATTTTTGTTTAGGTTAACAGCTGGAAATTTAGGTAGTTACTTTTATATCAAGCAACCTTTGGCGGAAAGCAGGCAATATAACTTAGCGCTATTGCCCATTTCTTAGTCTTGAGTTAATCAAATGCTAAATACTGTTGACGAAAAGAACAGGGTCTGTTATATCATCATCCTCCCGGGCGAGGCGATATGGATTGCCCCACCGCTCATTTGTTGATTTGGATACTGGAACGATAAAATAGCAAATAGAGGGCGTATGTAGGATTACCTTGTTTTAGCAGAACAGGGTGCTCTGCTGGTGAGAAAGTGGTATGTATATATAGAAGTTTCACTGATGTTGGAGATTCAACTATGAGTTTAAAATTTTCGGCCGGATAATCTTCGGCGTCGTTTAAACATTCAGATTTTCCATTAAAAACTACATACACTAATAATGCCTCACAGACATATCCCACACATCTCTATATGCTCTTGATGGTAGTGATCTTATCATATTTCTCAAGGTCCTAACTCTTGACTGACCCAGGTTGACTAGAGATGTATTAGTAATGTCGAGGTGTATGTGCGCAGAGGATGTAATTAGACAGCGTTTATTTTAGAGGGGGGGTCCAGAGTTGATATAGTTTTAGAAAAGTGGGCCCAACTTTTAAACTATATTCAACTTTCTGAACAAACATTATAATCTTCAATGAATCGGTGCATTTTGAGACAGATGCATGACAGATGCCATGGATTATCGGGAGGAGGGAGGGGGGAGGGGGGCGGGAGATGGGTAGGAGAGATATTGAATTGATTCTTCACACGAACATCACCAACATATACCCTTAATTTCTTTACGCATGGCAGAAATGTGGGCTTCTCGAAACAATGCTCTCTTAAGTAGCACCCCCTTGTTTAATTTCCCGCCTTACCTTCCTTTCCCCACCAGGGTGAAAAAGCTCGCATTGGTGCAGGGAGGTATGCAAGCTTCAAGCGCAATCCAGATATCAACTGCTCTTAAAAATATTGTACCTCTTTACTCTTCAGGGTAAGCGCCGGATGAAACCATTGTTCAGAGACGCGGAATGTTCGAGGGAGGACTGCGACCGTGCTGCAAGAATTGTATGCTTTCCGCCTTTCAGTAGTGCACTTTGCCTGCAGACCGCCGCGAAGCTGAGATCCACAGGGGGCACAGAACCAGACTGCCAAGTTGGGAGGCAGGTCTTCACGGCGGGGCCGCGCATATCAATGGAAATATCCACTCCATTCAACATAACTGGGATTCGGGCAGTGATTTGCGGACGGGTGCTAGGATCTGAAGTGTGGATTTCTCGCTTGAACGGAAATCTGCCTAGCCAAGGATAGTTTTGCTGATTGATTGGTACTTGAATATGACGTCTGCATTAAACTCTCGCTCTGACTTAAGCCGCGTAGAGAGAAATCACTCGTGTGAAATATGTATCTGACTGCAGTGTAGGGACAGTAACTGTGAATGTGAATAAATATACTTGTGAGGTGCGCAGAAGCAAACAATAATTGAATATTTTGTATTTTTCGGCGGTTCTTCGTATATCACTTTAATGGGCAAAAGAAATATTGCGCATGATACGATTTGGCGCATGGTCATAAACCAGGCTTATGGAGAGGCGTTAATCAATTCGTTTCCGGCGTATCGAATCCTCTATTCTTTTGTCAGGACCGTTGGTAACAGCGCCTCATATTCCGGCAAGACGGTCGCAAAGGACAGCGAACCGCGGGAAGCCCACATATATTCCAAGCTAGCGATCCGACATATATAAATGGATTTTTTGAATATTGAGGTCTGCAAGGAGGTTAGTGAGACCTTTAGGTTTCCACCTTCCTGATGAGAGGCTAAATCGATCGGTTGGATATGGTTTACCCAAGTGTTGGTATTTCTATGAAATTTATCGAAATTTTCAGCGCATTTTTAAACATTTGCTCAATTTCTTTTTCTTTTCTTTTCTTTTCTTTTTTTTTTGGGGTGCCGTAAGTAGCCGCCGTTCTTGTGACACATCCATCGTCACTTGCAGGTTATTTTCAAGAAAATCCCTTCGTTTGACAGAACGGGGCGGTGGCACCGACCTGGTGCAGTATTTCGTCCACAACCTTGGGACAAACTTTAAATGGCGGTTTTACAGACGTGTGCCAAATACAAGCAGGTGGGTGGCTTAGTCCCTCGAGCATGCCTTGCAGCCCAGGCCCGAGCTCACAAGCTGCTGTGCATCCACTCGCTGTTACAGTTTTCATAGAAGAGGCCATGGTGCACTCCTTGCACATGAAATTTTCGGGTTCTTATTTTTTCTAACAGCAGCTGTGATGGTGTATATCAGGTATTATGTGCAGCCTTTTGCGTGCATATATAGAAATGTATTTCTGAACAAAGGTCAGCAGTCATACAATAAGGAATCAGTGCTGGATGGCAACCTCCGCCTTCGTGGTAGAACCCCGAGCCGGCAATACCAACGAAGTTTCCAACTGGTCTTGGGGAAGGGCCCAGTGTAACCCCCCCTTAGATTTCATTCTCCCTGCAGTAACCCATATGAGAATCATCTCCGTCCAGCACTCAGACGGGGTCGCAAAAATAAGGGGAGCGAGTATCAAAGTCTCATATCGAGTCTTCTGAAAGCTGATGGGGATGGTGGTTGTATTTTCCATGGATACGGATGCGCACATTTGGTACGTTGATAAATCTGTCACATTTTTCTAGTGAAGAATGTCAACATGTACGGTAATCTACCCTCTTCTGGATCCAAGCCAAAGTAGAAGATTCTCGATTAGAGGGACTCATTGAGAACCTGGTGGCCTTTATAGAGTGGGAGGGAGAACCAGGGTGCTGGTGGTACGATCAAGCGTCGTGTGTCAAGTCATTAATTCGTCGGCCCTATATCTGAATAGAATAATAATCTACCGAGAAGAAGAAGCCCTGGTAATTCTGAGGATACCTGGCGCAATGGTTATGCCATTGCCGGCCGTTGAGCAAGATTTAAGAAATGCCTGCATTGTCGTAACCAACCCGCATCTCTGTATTCCCCGTTGCTAACTCTAAGGGCAAGGTTCAACAGAGCAAAGTTGTAAAGTTGAGCTGCTGTGCCCATAGATACGGGATATGCCACATTGCGATTCTCATTCATTGGTGGATTTTAGCAGTCTCTATGCATGCATTGCCCAGATATCCGGAGGGGGGGATACGAAGATTGAGAGTCATGACTCGGCTATAAAATTTTCAGTCCATTGGGGGCGTTGACAAGTAAGTATGGCATCACTGACTGAGACGACATTGAAGTCATGTCCACAGCATATGGCGGGCGTTGTACTTGTGCCCATGGGGGTTTGTAGCGGTAGCTGTGGCTGTCTCTAGCTAGTTATATGGCTATGGTTGGAGTGGTGATATTTGTGGACTGGCGATCTGGGATACACAGCCTCGTTGCCCTTCGTCCCTTTTAGGAAGTTTTGGACGTGCACAACGCAGGCCGCACCAAAAAGCGCTTTTTCCCTGTCTATCACAACCCTCTGGAGCAACCATCAAGCAGTGGGTTTGACACACTGTGACAGAGGTTGTTGCTGGTTGGCTCTGTGCAAGCACCAAATTTAACAGGGAAGAAGCCAATTCCCGTGGTGATTGTGCTGAGATTCAACTCTAATGATCAGATCAGGCCCGCGGACCCCTTGTCACTTCGCTGTCGCTACCCGGAGATGTTGCTCCAAGTTTCCCAGATATGACCATCCGCTCATGCCACCGCGTGGTTCGACAGGCTGAGCTTTACGGGTTGATGAAAATAGAGCAACTAGAGCATTAAGCGAGGGTACCATCGGGCGGCACAGGGGCACAGGGGCACAGGGGCACAGGGCGGAGAAGAGAAAATGAGAATCGCCGGAGTCATACCACCTGAATATCGCCGCCGTACATGGGTGTAACCGCTGTCTGAACGGAGTTCCGTGGACCTTGAATTTGAATTCGGTTTGTGACTTGGCAGGAACAACAACTGGAGATCGCCCCGCGGCTTGATCCGCCGATTGTCAATGTCAGTGTTTGATGACCGCTCAACGACCCTGTTAGGTGGAATCTTCTACGTCCGCCGGACCTTCGACTATGCTCCTGATTCAAAGTTTTTTTTTTTTTTCAAAAAAAAAAAAAAAAAGGAAAAAGAAAAAGAAAAAGAAAAAGAAAAAGAAAAAGAAAAAGAAAAAAGAAAAAAGAAAGAATTAGAAAGTTTCCATCCGTTCTTTTTGCGTTCCATTTATTTTCTATCCCTGGAGCTCTCTCCTTGAATATACCTCGGGGGGGGGGGGGGGGCGCAGGGGAAGAAGATTTTTCGTGAACCTGTCTATCTAAACGCCAGAGAACCTTGATTAATTAGCCATTCCAACTTTGAGGGATGGATAAACTGGCAGAACCAGCCATTCCGAACAGCCTCGGAGAGCCAGAATAAAGTCGAGGCAGTTTCGAGTAACTAATAGTTTTTCACTTTGGTGGTTACATTATTTATCAACGACGTCATCACACCCCGCCTTTAAAGCTGGAGCCATCTCGATGTTATTTATTGATAGGGACATCAGCTTAAGACGCTGCTAATGCAAACCGAGTATTTTCATTGGCTAGAATGGTGAAAAGGCCAAGTGGATGATGGGTGATCTCGTTGGCATTTGGTGGCAGTGGCAGATCGTGGGGCTCGTCTGATAGCTAGATGCTGGATGCTGCGGAAAGGACTTATTAATCGCTCACGGTGGGTCCGTTTCTGTGTTGGAAAAAAGCATGCCACAAAACCGGTTCCAGTCCGGCTCATCTTATGCCATGCGAGAAGGATGGTGGAAGATCCAAATCGCCTACTTACGGTCGGATTAGAGTGCAGGTTTAATCAGGTCCAATCCCTCATGATAAATCATCTACCTAATTTGGTCCCAAGATTGTGGACGACATGCGGTGCAGCGTGTGGGTCTAGACAGCTCTCAAAACCCTCTTAGTTCTATCGACTCTGCATCGTTTCCGAGCTGGAACAAAAAGCCTGTTCTAAATCAGGAGATAGGGGGGGGTCTTTCTTATGCTTTTCCTAACTGATGCCCTTTGTTTTCTCTTCTTCGTCTTCTTCTGCTTCTTTTTCTTATTTATTTATTTATTTAATTTATTTTCATATTTATATTTATCTACATCTACATTTTTATTTACATTCCCCCCCCCCCCCCCCCCCCCCCCCCCTTTCTCCCTCCTTCAGAATAATGCAGCAGTTTTGAGTTCAAAACTAGGTTCATACCAAATGTTCGCGTCTAAACTAACTGCAGGGAATTGAGGGATCTGGATCTCACATCCAAGGACTGCTGATGACGGGGGCTTCACCTAAAGTCTAAGGGTCACTTCGTACTGGTTCAGGCACGCCTTGAACGTCTCAAGTGTAACTCGGAGAACATTCCCTGATGGGCGGGTTGTTTTCGTTTGTCCAGCCTATCATGCACGTCAATGATTTGTGGGCTCCTCATAGGATAAGCACGTCTGGACGCAGCCCCTCAGCGCTCTTACACCCCACACAACTTTTCCACGGTCTAGGGCTCACGCTATTGCGTAACACTTAACTAGTTAGACGACGTTTCGAGACTGCGAAAAACTCGGCTCCGGAGAATCAAGGTAAAATATTCGAACATGAAAACTAGGAATGAGTTCGCGCCTCTGAACTGCGGCTCTGATACGGAGTAATGCGAAAATAGAATATGCAGACTGGTTACTTTACTGTTTGCAATCCCGAACCTGACTCAAGCAGCCCCGAGGACGATCCACGAGGGATATTCTCACGCTATCTCGGTGTCCACCGGGTACGAGGGCTGCGTGCTGCCAAGGAACGTTTTCACCAGAATAATCCGACCCAAACTCTCTCAAATATGCCATTTACATTGACCCACTTGGAGGTACGAATCCTCCCGTTGTGGCTTCATGAACTAGCGCGGGCTCTCTGTATTTTGGGATTATCTGGGTCTCAACTGGAGGCGCTACCTTGCACATCATTCTGCAACCCAGCGTCAAATCCCTGACCCCATCGACTGTCAACTCAACCTTAAGAATAATCTGACCCTTACTGTACCAGATTCGTGTCATTTACCCCTCTCGACTTAGAACGGAGCATGGAGTAGTTTCTGGCGACTAGTTCGGTGGTTCCCAGCATGATCGTCGTTTTACGGCTTGCTCTCGGATCATTTCATTCATGGGGTCACTGCTTGGTCAGATGTCGTAGAGGGATTTCCCATTTGACAGGCACAAGTACTCGGTTTCGGTAGTGTTGCCTTAATTTCTGTCGAATGATAATCAAATCCCGGGCCCATATTTCTCGAATCTCAGCAATAGTGCTGAATCTGGGTCCTCCACAGGGGAAAGGGGGGGGGTACGGTACCCATAGCCCACCCTGATTACTCCACAAACTTCCAAGGAAACGATCGAGTGTCAGAAGCCCCCTTCCGTGCTGTTGACAAAATAGCTGCCAATCCCCCGATGCCAGGTCTCTTTTGATCTCGCTTTCGATCTAGACCAACCCTACCAGAACATTCCCGGTTTTGAACCAGTACACTGCCGTTCAAATATTGTCCGCATGATTCATAACTCCGAATGGCTGCCGCTTTCTAAGTTACTGTCTAACGTCCGACTGGCCAGCAACGCTAACCATCATCGACGTAATTCATTTTTTGTCCGACACTGTCTCCGTTGACTTTAAAAGCCGAAAGATAAGCTGAGTGATCAACAGTTGAGAATCCGCATGTCCCGCAAAGTGAAAACAGAAGAGGAGTCGAAAAATATGCCGGTGTCATATTTGAGTGAGTTCAGGAGCGGCGGGCAAACGCAAACTCTCCCACCGTTCAGAGATGTACGTAGATAGATATCCAGCACAATGATACTACTATCATATCCCAATACTAATTAACTATCTTCCATAGCTTTTGCCACAACATCTCCATGAAGAAATAGATTCAACGCCATTTTATTCTCCAACGAGCTACCATCTTCCAGGAACCTCTTATGTTTCATCTGCTTTTCATCCTAGATCGACTCGGGGAGCAAATCTTTCACGCTCCCTGTCGACAACTAAAATCGACAGTTATGATGGATACCTTCTCCGAACGGATAGGTTTTCAAAGGATCAATCCCAGGGAGGCGTCGCCCCTCTTAAACGACAGGCCTCTGACACTGAAATCCTCTCAGCAACAAATCCGACTTCCCACTTCAGCTCTGGCGGAGCACTTCCTCCCATAAGGAACCTGCAACCGCTTCCCGCAAATATTGGTCCTTTCAGCAGAGTAAATGTTGACACCAAACCACCCGCTTTATCACTGGAATATCACAGCAATTCCAACCAACATACACATTCCTTTGGCTCAAAAGCTCCAGGCACTTATCTTCCAGCATCTCGCCCATTTCTAGTCATTCCCACGAATACTCTCTCACATTCAGAGCCTGCGAGGATCAGTCAACCCTATGAAAGTTCGCGATATGGACCTTATCAGCAATCCTTTCGGCCCGAGCTTGATTACTCTCCAGTTTCAGCTGGTAGCCTTAATGATAGGAATTACGGAGCGCAAGGAGAGCCGATTGACCCAAAAAATAAAAAGCGGAGGGGCAATCTACCAAAGTCCGTAACTGATGTTCTTCGAGCTTGGTTCCATGAACATCTGGATCATCCTTATCCTAGCGAAGAGGACAAGCAAATGTTTATTAGCAGAACTGGTTTAACTATTAGCCAGGTGAGATTTGATTATACTCTTTCCCCCGCCCCCCAACCTTGTGTATGAATCTTTTTCTAATGCAAGGTTTTTACAGATCAGTAATTGGTTCATCAATGCTAGGCGTCGCCAACTACCGGCACTCCGAAACCAAGTGCGGGCGTCCGAGCCGGATAGAAACGGGCATCGACAGTCCCCGCTAAGCGACAATGAGCAGACATCTTCACAATCGAGTGTGTCATCGCATCATTAAAACTGCTTCATCCCAGCACAGGTCTTTTCTTTTCTTTTCTTTTTTTTTTAAAATGGACAGCTTTTCTTTCATCCTTTTGCCTTTTTCGGCGTCTCTAGTTCCTTTTTATGATGCAATGAGCGATCTGAATCTCTTTTACGACTCCTGGTTATCTAGCTTTTTCTCCTTTCGAACCTATTTCTGTCAGTTCTCGGTGATGCAGGCTGGATTTTTGATTGACGAAAACCGGGCAAGGTGTGAAGCTCATGGGCGTTACAGCATATCTTAAAGAAAGGCGTCGGCATACACACAAATCCACTTTCTACTTTATCATGACTGTTTTGGGTAGGGGAGAATCTATACATTGAATGTTGATGTTTGTGGCACGTCGATGTTTATTTTTGACGCCAATTCCTTTTTTGTTATTCCCATATCCATAGTATAGTACGGGGGTATTGGGTGTTTTAGTACAGAATTCACTGCACATATACGATTTCATTTTTACGAAAACCAATATTCCTCTGTTCCGTGGTGTATTGACGTTGACGCCACCCCCTCTTAGGAGTCAAAATATGTATTTTGATACTGGTTTCCAGCCCGTCGCTGAAAACAATTTGAAATTGAGAAAATATGACTCGCCCAGTTTTGGTGCTCTTCCAAAAAAAAAAAAAAAAAAAAAAAAAAAAAAAAAAAAAAAAAAACAAACAGGATAGATAGGATTTGGTTCAGCAGCTGGTTTATGCAAGTGTCCCCCATGTGGCAGATTTGAGCAATACATCCCATGCCAACTTTCTACGAAAGACGATTCTAGTTACTTCAAGTAAATCTACCAAGCCAAAATCCGCCGCAGCCATCTCCCCCCCCCCCCCCCCCCCTCGTGGGAGTTTCAAAATCAGCACAGACATTCGAACGTCCTGGGTCCCTACAGTTCCCAACGTTGGTTTCTAGGGAGCGACCATCCGGAGGACGCAAAAAGGGCGAATCCCAGGGACCAATCACCAGCTCTAGATGATCTGTGAGCTAAACGCAGGCCTTACTCTAACTGGTTACTGGAAGTTTGATTCAAACCACAGAATCCAACCCCAGGCGCGAGCTAGCAGGATAGAAGCCAAGCGCCACGACGATGTTCACTCAAAAAAGGGTCTTAAAAATTAAGGAGCATCGCTCCGCCCATCCCATGACCATGGACCAGTGACAGCCAGCTAGCTACTCTTTGTGTACGTCCGCAAATACTTGGAGTAATCATGCACCGGGGATTTTTGTTGCTCATTTTGTTCCCACTTATTTCTATCATTTCCGCCGGGGGGCCTCTTTTGGCCCTCGGTTCCATGGAACGGCGAGAGGTATGTACTAAAATTTTCGCAAAAAAGCTGAAAAGGCGAGAGAGCCAAAGGGATCGAAAGGAGGCAACGGAGAGCCTGAGAAGCCGGTCTCGTGCATACGGCCGCCGCCCGTATTATTGATGCTTTCTATTTTTCAACACCATATGTCAGCTCCCCCCGAATTTGATCACCGGGAACTCGTCATATATCCCTATATCCGCTCCTGGTAAAACTCGCCCCTGAACGTCTCCCTAACTCCCCATTTCATTTCCTTCGCCAGTCTATGAATTTAAAACGCTCCACTCTGCCCCATCACTCATGATGACAATCACCCGACCCCCATTATTATTTCCAGGCCCTACTGCGGAGGTCTTTTGCTGATGGTGGGTTGCAGGATCCGTCTGTTTTTAACTTCACATGATGGAATGTCAGGAGAGCGGAATAAATATAGGACAGTTCAGAAACCCCACAGCTTGTATATTCCCCACTAGGAAATGACTTGGGTCGTGCTAGTTATGCTATGCACCTTGGCAATCCACGATCTCTCCAGAGTGCTGTAGCTTATCGATGGTGGCTGACACGCAAGTCACTAGTCCACTGTCCAGATCCCATGTCCTCCAAATTATGACGGCCTCATTAATCCGGAGGCTCGGACACAAGAAGCAGGTAAACATTGATGACATGCAAGTTTCAAAACTGTGACCCAACATCTTTATTTCTGGGAACCGGAGGAATCCATTTCTATTCTTGGGTCAGAAACGTATCGAGAGACAAAATACTTCGTATCTTAGCTTCCCTCATTAATAAACGCTTGTAGGTTATTTTCTTGCCTTTCGGTCGTTATGTTGTTTCCCGGCTCGAGACCTTGGTTCCTCGGGATTTCCATGTTTCAAAAACGGGGAGGGGAAAGTTAAAAAGATGACAATGCCATGGAAAAGTAAAATGAAGATCCCAGACAAGCCAGATTGTTCGGTTTATTACTATCATTGGTTCTTGGCTCCCGAAACTTTCTTATGAAGCCATAGAGGTTTGAAACCTGAACAGAGTGTGTTGCTTCCAGATTGCCAGCTTTCAAGCAACAGTCTTGATGCATGAATGTCCAATAAGCTGGAAATGAGAGGTGGAATGATTCAGGTATTTCTGCCTGCAGTCAGGGAGAATTGGGTCTGGAGCGAACCAGCCTTGTTCTCTGGCGCAAGTTGAGTCATGAAAGTTAAACAGCATAGTTTAAATATATATATATATATATATATATATATAAATTACTTATCTTGCTATCTTTTCACCAGAGCAACCAATCACTGTTGTTCCTGAAAATATGTCGCACCCCTTGGGCCTATTCAGTTCTCAGACTTGAGGGCGCAGCCAAGGAGGAACCATCATTCAGTGATTATTAGATATTCCTTTGTTGGCTTGGGTCATGAGAGATGAAATGCTTGAAATAGTAAACTTATTTGTTACTCACAGGGAATCGTTATCCGGCTAAGATTATCGCCGTTGATCCGCAGCGGACTGGGAATGATAAAGTTAAGATCCACCCATTAATAGAGGCGGCATATTCAACAGGGATTCCGGCTTTGGGTAAGTCAGAGAGACACGAAGACGATCCCTCGTGTTCGGCCACGCCGATCTAGGGATAGCGGATGATTGAGAAACCTTCTTCGAGCATGAACAAATGAATACAGAGGAACGGGTCGTTTGCATAATCACCGCCTAAGAGACGCCACCAGATTCATTCAGCCGGTAAACACTGACATACAACAACTTAGACTCAGACGAAGGACGCCCACGATCACTCAGCAGATACGACACGTAGAGATGATCGTCCTCGAAGCTTTGTCAGCAGCTGTTAGATTTTGCGACTTGCCATCCTTGCGTTGTTATTCAACGTTAGATAGTTATGCTTAGGATTCAGCTGAAGTCGCAAGCCCTGTCTATGATGTACTGTAACTATCTCGCTGGCTAGCAGCAGCCTCCTCTTGACTTTCAGCACAACCACAAAACAGCCCCAATCTCCGACGTTGCACCCAGCATTGGCACCAGCCATCCTTACCCAGAGATGTTCAGGCCTCAGAGCAAACTGCAAGACTCTTTCCTCTAGGACGTCCAGTAGAAGGCACTAGCATGCCTATCTCATGATGCGATTAGAAGGTTGCCACTCACTGGTGCAGATCCAAACTTCCAAACTTCCCAACTTCTGGATGGTTGGACCCCAGCTCAAACTCCTCGCTCAGGCCCGCTGGGCATGCCAGGTGGCTTTTCCTACTTGGCCAGGGTCGTTGCTCCACTGTTAGCTGTCATGAAGCTGTCAGGCAGATATGTCCAATCTGCACGCACCCTGCTGACGCTACTTCTTCAAGGGTCCTGGTCGCTATTTTGCTCTACGAATCTACTACCTATGGGTGGAAAAGATCAATCCCAACTGCCATAGTACTTGTGTAGAATCTCGGAAGGTCGGGTAGAAAACAACCCAGGAAGATTCAAGCCAAAAAGCTTTCCAGCGGCGGGGCAAAAGTTTCCACTATTCCTATCTGAAGAGCAACCTTAATCCAAAGTAGTTTATTTTATTGTTGAGATTTCCAAACATTTCCTACCCGTCCCCTTCCGAAAAAAGGGTGTTTTTTGAGAATCGAATATCACTCATGGGGGCTATCAACAGCGGACTTGAATAGTCCCATTCTGATGAGATTGACCCTGTTATAGACCCCTTCTAGGGGAGAGGGAGGTTGAAGCTTGGGGAAATGTGGACATAAAATGATGTATGTGTATTTCGGAGGGAAACATTGACACATTCATAGCTTAGCTTGTTGCTGCTGAAATTCTCACTTTAGTCTTTTGAATGCGCAGCTACCGCCTGAAGCCACTGACTTTGAACGCAGGAATGACCTGCATCGGCGAGAAGGCGAGATCTCGAATATGAGTTTGAAAGGTTCAAAGTATATTTGGTGGGTTTCCCGTAGCAATATTGTGCATCAGACTTAGTTAAAGTTCATGATTCCCCACTCAAGATACATATCTTTGACCAGAAAGCTTAACTTGTCAACCTCCGGTGGAACTCGGCACGACAAACCGGCAAATAACCAAATTGTCCAATAGCAATCAATGGCGCTGGAATTAAGCTCAGAAACATGGGACGCCGGAACGAAGCGTGTCCGAAACAGTTGCTCGTACGTTCAGTGTCTGAGTTCTTCGACCCTCCGACATCGAGTCTGCCCTTGTCGGGGATTTGTCGCCAACCGCTTTTCAACCACCGGAGAGTAAAGCAACGACGCAGGGTTTCCCATGTCTCAATTATTGCTTGGCTCCTTGAGGCCTGGGAAGTGGAAGCGGGAAAATCCTTGACCCAAATAGAAACGAAAGTTTCAAAACTTGAAACAGGAACCTGGACAGCGTAATTTGTTCATAGAAGTCACGAGAAATTCGTATATCTGCTTTACTCACCCGTTGTCCCGTTATAATCATTCCAAGGATGCTTCCCGCTTTCTCGTCTCTTCGCTTAAAAAAAACAAACAAACAAACTGGCATTAAAGCTAGTAAATGCATTCATTCTGGTGGCGGACTACCTTGGATATGGTAATAGCCCCAGTGTCATCCCAGCGGTACATATCGGCAAGGTTCATGACCTTGATGTCAAGAAACTATCGCTAAGCTTAGTTTACATCAACACATCATCACCAACGAAAACACTACACCAGGGAGATATTTGTCGAAAGCTTATGAAATAGATACCATGCTAAAAAGCGGCACCAACTTGTGAACACCACCCCAGGAAATGTTCGTCGAATTCTCGATTTTCTGACACGATTCACAGCGGAAGGTTTCAATTATTGACAGGCCATGTTGCTGTTAATCTGCCAGAGATCCTGTCATGAAAACTGCCGATATCAGCGGAAGGCATCCATTAGCTCCAAAACCCAAGTATTCCCACCAATTAAAAAACAATAATTCCACGTGCAATTTCGCGCCTTTTAAGGTCGGAACAGGGTCCTGACTGCAGATCTGCTTCGATTGGATAATGTATTGTGAGGCTTAGCTGTGGGTATTGCTCACTACAAAATCTATGAGGTCACCATGTAATATTATTAGTTCCAAGGACCTAGTTAATATCGATAAAACTGACGCTGAACGAAATCCCTCATAATTAGAGACTGGTGGAAACCAAAACGGAAAGGAAGAGGTTGAGGGTTGTGTTCAAAGATCTCCCGTTGTTGGGTGGTGGTTTATGGAAAACTTGGGTGTCTGCGAGTCAGGACGCTCGAGCAATGAACTGCCGAACACAATTCCCTGTCTTTCCCCCCCCCCCGGTGGATTCGTGTTGACAAATTTCTTCCCCTATCTCCGTAAGTAATGATGCGTACATTACAATGTTGCTACCCTGCTCCTCCAGGGTGACGAAGAAGACTTTGAAGGATTGAGGAGCGGCATTGGAAGCATCCGGCATCTGGGAATCTGCAAGTTCGACTTGCGATATGTCCAATGGATCTCTCCAACTCCGAACCGCTCTCTATGCGGCGTATGGTACGATAATGCAACGTGGATGAGATTGTGCTGAAGAATATGTACAACTTTGATGAGACTGACCTTTTAATAGGAGTTATCTCAACAGCTTGGGTAATCACTATTACAGAGAAGAAAGAGCAGGCCATCTTTTATACAGCCCGGAAATAGAGAATAAGTAACAGTGATGGAGGCAGTCAGTGCTATAAGCTACACTCTGTCTTCTATGATTATATTGAAGAGCAAGCTTTATCAATTCTCATGATACAGGCAACTGTCAGTGAATTGAACAATTGGTCTTGGTATAAAGAATTGAACTACAGATGATCTTGACCTAATACGACTGCTGAAGGTATTTTAACAAGTATACTGAGGTTCATCCAAATTGAGAAATATAGACTGTTAATTAAATGAATATGATAGTCATGCTACAGCTGAATTTGACAAAAATTCTATCAGAATCATAAGATTGTATAATATTATATATGCCTCCCTACTTCTCTTATCTACTGCAGTCAATAGATATGAGCTGTTTTCCATCATTAAAAAGAGTATATGGCAAGAAGCAGAAATGGAGCATGAGATTGAGAATCAATCATATTGACAAATGGGAATTTCTAATGAAAGAGGTTTGAGGGGATATTCATATCCAGGGACCAGAAAGTAATGACTCCCAACTTGCAGCAAATGTAACACCCCCGGACATAATATTAGAGCGTGCCCACAAGCCTAAAAGCCTATTCCATTTAACTACTATAGGTTATTGCTTAATTTGAAAATTTGTTAAAATTCGGGATGAGGAAAAGGGGAGGGTTGAGTGGTGGATTAGTTATGTTAAGCAGCGGCATGAGTAATAATATTAACTAAATAAAGGGGGTTGAATGGTTGAATTTGTTAATTACATCACACTGGCTGCTCATTGTGGATTAGGGCCAATGGGAGTCTAAAGACCCTATTAACCATTAGACCAAAATCAAATACTATAGGCGCCTCTAACCTAAAGTATAGTTAACCCACGGAGGTTTGCAATTCCCAAAGCCGCCTTTAAAGCCGCCTTTTTAAGTCGCACTTTTCCCCTTTTCTTGCTGTTCAATAGTTAATAGATTGCAGACAAGGACTGACTCCTTGAAGAGGAAAATCTTTAAGGTTATATGAATCACTCTGCTCTACTCCGATATCGAATTAATCGATCTCTTCTTCTATCAAGTGTACTCTTCCTCTGCTGAGTGTACAAACAGTTCTCTGTCATTTGAAGACGAATAGAACCCTTGATATTTTGAATATGGTCTCCTGTGGGCGTGACCAGGATTTTGGCTACTACCAGATCCATACGCCTCAGGGGAAGACAGTCAAAGTGTCTCGCGCCTGTCAGGTTCCGACCTCTCCAGATTTTCAAGGTAAGACTGGCTCTTGATACCGTCTCCACCGGTCATTGGAATATTAGCAGGCTTGTTGAAGCTGGAGGTAATGGCAAGCTTGTTCTTGACTCAGTCGAACGGCGGACTCTCTCGGGTATCGAGACGGTCTGGCACTCTGTCCGTCTTGAGTATGCGCATCTCTTGAGTGAGGCATTTGCTGGGGATGAAGAGATGCAGTGTCAGAATCATCTGTCCTCCACGTTACATCGTACCGGTCTACTTCACCCAAACGGGATCATCGCTTGCTGGGGTGGTCGCCCGAAGATGTCTACAGTGTCTCAAAGGATACGGAGATCTACTCCCTTATAGAAGGACACACAATATCGGACCTGCGTTCCCAGCTCATATCACCGAGAACGGTGATCGTGTGATCGGCTATGCTGCCGAGAGAATCCCGGGTCGTCGCGCCACGATCGGTGACTTGGAGCCCTGTTGAATAGCCCTACCAAGACTTCATACACTCGATATCGCTCGTAGAGCCTTGAACATATCAGTTTTCCTAGTGGCAGATGATGGCCATGTCGTTCAACATGGCTTTTCTGGGTCATTCCTCACAGGCGATGATGTTGCACATGCCAAATATATGGATTCTCTTGAGGATATGCTATGGCAAAGCTGGCTTCCTCCTCGCCGCCGACTCGATCACCAGGTGGGAGAGAAACTTGAGGAGATTGACAAGCGTGATGATGGCATTCACGCTGTAGCACTTGGCCAGGCCGTACTGCAGGATAAGGGTGGATATCAACACGGAGAAGCACGGAAAACTACTTGGAGAATTAAGGACTAACCTAGCTTCAAGAGGATGGAGAGTAAAATGCTGATAAAGAGAGTTCAGTCGTTACTAATCTATTATGTTGAAAAAATCTGTCATTTTGTCTTTTCAATGCAACTAATAAGCACAATCACATCGATTGTACACGTCAATGATATTAGGAGATTTTAGTAATAAAACTACATACGTCTTATTGCTGTATAAGATCAGATATAATGAAATAGCATGAAAGATAAAAGTGTAAAGGTAGTAAAAAATAATAAAGATGTGTATCAAGATGGGAAGCCCCTCCAGGGACCTGTATAAGTCAGTCAGGAGCTCTTATGGTCCCTTTGGCCTAACAGTTTAATCACCAACCCCTAACCGATAGTTCATGATTCGGGCACCGTGACGAGATGAGAACGATCAGAAAGACAGTTGAAGTGATATTAATAAAAATCATACCAATAGCAGAGGCAGTAAAAAGGGATTCTTAAAGTTTTCACCCGGCTAAACATGATCTCATGTGTAGTGATTCAAGATATTGGCTATAATCTTTGCAGGAAGAAATTTCAATTTTAAAGCTCCAGATCTGGTCTGAAGCCTGGGAAATAGTTAAACTTGAAATCTAGACGGCAGAACTGTCTGTTCTTCAGGTTCATACAGATTCATAAATCGTCCATGTAGTTGGTCTTAGAGATGACTGTTGAACACTGATGGTAACATTATATACCTACCCTGGAGACATTTTTGCACTTCCAGTCTATGAGATCATTCCTCTTGGAGGCATGACAACGACTTACACCAGCTGCAGTGACGCGTGAATACGAGGTGACTGGTTTCGCGAGATCGAATTGACACGAAATCAAAGAACGAGAAATTCAGGATTTCAAGGTTGTCACCTCAGTCTCAACCAGAGACTGTGTCCGGTCCAACCTCCAGCAGCGTAGTGCGGGGAAAGACAAAGCAGTCACTGTTAACAGGATGTATTGAGAGTATCCCTTCGCGAGCTCTTACATTCATTACCTAATAGAGCGAACATTCTCAATCACCACTTGGTATATAAATATATGAATCATATATAACCAAGGTTAACCTAGCACCATTTGTTACATCACCAAAAATATTTATCAGAACATAGTGATATATAAATCGAGCAGAATGCCGATGGGAAAGCATGAAGACCGCATACTTGATTGCAGTATTCCACTAGTAATCAAGGATATCAAGGGCAAGAGTGTCATCATGGCCGGAGGTATTTATTTAGTTAAAAACCTTGTTATTGATATTTTGAAAACACTGGTTTCACAGGTGCATCAGGCTTAGGCAGACCATTTGTAGAAGCCTTCACCAAAGCCGGGTGCGTTTATTCACCATCTGCCCCTGAAGTCCCAATTGGCAGGCGCGTGAACGGAAGGAAAGAGAACAATTCATTGACTCGAATGGCCCCTAAATAGTGCATGTCACGTTTGGCGACGTGGATGGAGAATCTGGATCTTCACTTGCAGCGGAACTGGCTGGGTACGCTGCTTTGAACGTATCTCTTTGTTGAATCCAAGATCAAAAGGCCACGGGGAAGTGACGATTTTCACACAGGAAAGGGGTGTTTCGTTCGATGCGATGTAAGGGTTTTGGAGGAGCAGGTTCGCCTGTTCGAGATGGCTATCATGAATTCCCCGAGCAGCACTTGCGACATTGTCATTGCAAATGCTGGGAAAGCTGGACCCGATGGATTGTTTGGGGACGATGATGAGGACAAATTCGCTTTCACCCTCGAGATTAGACCCCATCAAATTTTGCCGCGCATTATGACCGTGGTTTTGAGAATTAGAAGCCCTTAATTGCAGACGTCTCCCTCCCTCCCACCAAACCAGACACCTCCATGTTTGATATCAACCTTACAGGAACTCTATATACGACAACTAGCGCCGGCCCGAGACAGACGTCTGATCTTTATAGGCAGTCTTGGCGGGTTCTTTGATCTGCCTGGCTCCGCGACATATTCAAAGTCCAAGTTTGGAGCGAGATGATTGATGCGCTCGCTTCGAAAGAATGCTTGGGTGGATTCTATTCGAGTTAATTTGATTTCACCAAGGTATGTAGGTATAGTACATGCATTGCGTGCTATACTGACACCAGCATTCTCATGGATCCTTCATCCCAACCATCACCCTTCCTCCCCTTTATTGCTCAACCGCTCTAACCAAACGTGAAGTTACATCATAATCCCAGCTTACCCCGAAAAACTGATTGCCTTCTTCACATCGAAGGACGTAAAATTCACGTCAGTGGATGACGCCTGTAAAGAGCCCTGAGAATCGCAGCCTATCAAAGAGTGAATGGCAGATCACTCGCGGTTGTTTCTCAAGAAGACTGCGCCGAGGGATATCTGGACCTTGCGCAGGATGTTTCCCTGAGGGTAGCATGTTGGGTGACTGGCAGGATGTTACTATCAATATTGGCTCACGAACATAACATGCATTCTGCACGTATGACCTGGGGGGTCGCGTGATGGAGTGTGTATGCATGCGTATGAGTGTGTCCGATTGTGCAATAGATGATGGTGTCTTAATAAACAAAACAAAAAAAAAAAGAAAAGAAAAGAAAAAGAAAAAAAGTGGAGGAAGGAGAAAGATAACTTGTGCTCATTTTGTTGTTGACTTGCAAAATTGAGTGTATGTCCAATTGAAGGTAAAAGTCCCGAAACTTGATGTATCATCCTCATTGCAGTCATCTTGTGCATGAAGGCTCTTTTTAACTGATTGTCCACAGGTGTTAACATAGACAAGATATGCACAATCTGAAAGAACATGAGACTGGTGACTTCAATCAAAAGCATTACTTAACCCGCAGTATGGTCATTTGGGGCTGTCAACATACCCAGTTGATATTTCTTCTTCCAGTGCATGTCAGCTGAGACAATTGAATTAGTATCAGGCTTCAGGCCTGTGACTGGCAGCAACTGGGCATTTCAGGCATATTAAAAGCTGACAATCCATCTTCGGTTGCGTATGACAGATGCTGGATGGTTTTGTATTTCCCCCTTAACTTATTGAAATAAATTACTTTATTTCTCAACAGCGGTTATCCAAGCAGAATAACGGGTAGGTCACTTTTGAATACAGCCGTAAGCTGATGATATGAAAGCTGATTTTTTTTAACTTTTCAAAGAGGTCTTCAAGATTAAAAATGCTGTTTTCTAATCAGGTTTTCAGGCTGGATAGGAAATCTATGGACGACATATGATTCTCGAACATTGCTTCCCACACAGCGCAACTTGGATCTGATGTCAGAGAAATTGGGTGGATAGGATAAAGGCGAGTAAACCAAAACATCCTTTACATCCAGCTTCTAACAATGGGTCAGTCCCGCGACCAATATACCTATCAGCTCGCTGGTGAGGACCGCGTGCACGAGCTAATCGTCGATGGGATAAGCAAGCATATAGGAGGTCTCGGAGAAATGCTCACTGCACTAGACGACGAAAACGGGTAAGGCCAGAGAGCTTGCTCGAAAGGTATGAAGCTTCAGCCAGGGCAAGATACAAATGTAGAAAAGTGCATGCATTGGTTTTTCTGGAACCTCGGAATCCAGGTCTCGAGAGTATATGTGCATTGCTAACTCGATATCCGGGAGACGGCAGATTTTACTCCTGGACAGACAGAACCTGGTTGAACCGTTGAACTTGGAAGAGTGATTGATGTTGGAGCGGATATTGGAGTGAGGTTGCAGGATTTGGTTGATCCATTGGATGTTCTCGAAGCTTAGAGTTTGCATCATGTGACATCCCGGCTTGGCCTGTAATTTGGGATCTGTGGGGCTTGGTTACAATTCAACATTCGCCGGAGAAAACTCACAACTTTGGAGTTGATACCATTTAACCAACAGCAACAAGTCCCCGGTGTACATAGTTGTTTGAATATCGCCCCAACTTCCTCTATGTCAAAGTGCATTTTGCCATTGTTGCGTGATTCTACTCCCCCTTTAAACCCTTCAGGTGCCGTTGCGACGGCTGAAGAGACGCCCAATGGCGACCTCCACGCAGAGCATCAGTGCGCTGCTCCAACGAAGCACAATCGACGACCATGAAGAAGTCATCAAGGCTTGCAATGCGGTGTTGAAAAAATCGAAGCATGATCTTCACGCCCTCCATGTAAAAACTGTTGCCCTGGTGAAATTGGACCGCTTCGAAGACGCAATCCGAGTCGTCGAGGAAGGCGGGGATGCGCTCAAAAATCGGGTCCCGCTGGAGTGGTCTTATTGCTTGTACAAGATTGGGAAGCTGGAGGATGCGATAAAGATTGCTGCAAGTGCTGAGACTGGAAGAGGAGGAAAACATGTTGAGGCCCAAGCTGTACGTTTGTCGGCCTCCTGAACTCGGGATATCGCTTGTTCTGCGGGATGGTCACTTATGAATATACCTCTAGACATATCGTGCAGAACACTTCCGTCGAACTGCAGACATATACAAGGAGCTATCCGCTGAGGATCCAGCCCTAGCGGGTGAGAAAATTGATGTGCGAATTAATTCCCGAGCAACGGAGGCACAACTCCAGTGGGCTGGATTGGGAAACCTGGTTCAGAATACAAAACCTAGTCGGGAAGACCTAGAGGGATTCGAAACGACCTATAATGTGGCATGCGTTGCAATAGGGAGGGGGAAGTTGGAAGTTGGAGGAGCACTACTGAAACGAGCAAAAGGCTTGCCTCTCTATCTTCCCAATATGCCCTGGCTCCAACCATGTTCAATATCTAACCGATTAAACCTCAGAGCTTTGCAAATCATCCGATGATCTTACACCTGAAGACAAGGCGGCAGAACTCCTCCCTATTACCGTCCAACAATTATATGTGGCGCTGAAGCAAGGGAAAATTGATGAAGCCAAAAGCCTTTCTTCAGAAATCAATATAGCTGAGTAAGTTTTTAGCACTAATTTGTTGAAGAGATATTAACCTCCGTTATTACAGAATCCCCGAGTTTTCAACAAAGAAAATAGCACAAAACAACGTTCTTCTTGCTTCCAAGACAGAATCAAATCCATATTTCCTCCACAAAAAATTCCACGAGATCCCAACCTCAACCGATAGCGACAAACTATTTTCCTTCCAAACTAGAGCACTTACCGGAAACTCGTACGTGGTAGACCTTCTGGTCCGCAAATTCGATGGCATAGCAAGATCAATCGAAAAGGCTCTCTCCCAGCATCCATCTCCCACCCTATCACCTGACATCAACACGCTATCCGTTTTCAACATTGCCGCTCACGTGCTGGATGGAACAGGCAAAGCCGGTCTCAAAGAAGTGCTTCCCCTGCTAGAAAAGAGACCAAAAGATGTTGGCCTCATCCTCACAATCATCCAACTATATTTTGCAGCCGGAAACGTCAGCTCTGCCATCTCTACCCTAGAAGCATTCCTGCAACGACTCGACAAATCAATATCAGAGTCTGATAAAGATATCCGGTTCAACCCAGGGCTTCTCAGCATACTGATTTCCCTCTATAAACTCCAAGGCCGCAGAAGCCACATAAGGGCAGAGCTCGCGAAAGCAGCATCGCATTGGCTATCGCGTCCGGTCGGATCTCCCTCTCTCCTCCGCGCCGCCGCTTCATCCCTCCTGGCCTCCGGCGACCCTTCAGACCTCGCTTTCGCCGGTGAAATTTTCAGCAAACTCTATGACGCCGATCCTAACGACCGTGTTGCGATTGCGGGTTGCATTGCATCATACGCAACGATATCACCCGATAGAGTGAAATCGATTGTAGATAAACTCTCCCCCATCCAAGATCTAATTTCTGACATCGACGTTTCTTCCCTTGAAGCTGCCGGAATCCCTTCCATCACCAACACCGCGGCAACAAAAATGATAACCTTGACTGCAGCCACCACCCCCGCTCTAGGGAAAAGCAGCCGCAAGAGACCAGCAGCAGACGACTCCAGCAAGCAAGAAACGAAGAAGAAACGAGTTCGCAAATCGCGATTACCAAAGGACTACGATCCGAACAAGAAACCGGATCCGGAACGTTGGTTACCACTGCGCGATCGCTCGAGTTATCGGCCTCCTAAGGGGAAGAAGGGGAAGCAGAGGGCAGCGGAACGTATGCAGGGAAGTGTAAGTAATGAGAAGAGTGAGGAGTCGGCTGCTTCGACGCCAGTTATACAACCAAAGTCTCAGGCTGGAGGGAGTGGAGGGGGTTCGAAGAAGAAGAGGGCAAAGGGGAAGAAGTGAATGTGGGAGGACAGTTATATGCGAGGACCAAAGTTGGGTATATGAATAGAGCTTCTTTCTTCATATCGTGTACTACATGCGTAATGATCTGATCTTGGAGATTTTCACTTCATTTGGTTGTTGGGTTAGATGGGTGGTATTCAATTCAAGACTATATTGACTCGGTTTATTTGTCTGCTAGCGTTTTCACCCACACATAGCATTTATAAAACAGGCGGAAACAAGTTCGAGATATGCTCACCCAGCTGAAGTTTGCGACACAGATTGCTCTTCGAATATACATATATATATATTCATCCTCTCCTTCCCATTCAGGTGCTCTACGATCTCCGATATCAACTGGATATGGTCAAGTCTGCGGAATATGCAGAGCCGCCAGAATGTGACACTGGAACTCGTCTGCCATAAATATATATATAGACATCTTTGCATCCGCCCTTTGTTTTTTGCTCTCCCTTGGGGTTAAGTGTAGCGAAACACCAAGAGAAACACCAAGAGAAGCACCCTTGAGGGGTTGTATAGCCAGAAGAAACGGCGGAGATTGATCTTTACATGGTTGCCCTACAACTGAAAGAGGGAATGAGACTTGCGCCAAGGAGACTGTTCGTCCCTTTAGCTGACTTTTGCGATGAAATGGCGGAATATTACAGCTGCAATTCTCTGTTGTATCATCTCATGGGGCACAATATGAAAGTGCATTGAATGAAATACATAGTCATTACAAGGACCTTTGAAATGATTGAATCCCAGCCCCTTCTCCGACAATCAAGTTCCAACGGATGAAGCGGGGACGGTGCAATGATCTGAATGTGGCTTGTGAGACAGATAGATATGTGGCTATGCACCCGTATTGATATAATTATTCCCGCAACTGCCCGGGCGTAGTATGAGTTAAATAGCTGTATTACGTGCCCCCTCCCAATTCCGGATGAAATACACATAAGCTCTGTCTGCATGGAGGACTCCTCCATATATGGTTCCTAGGGAAACCAACGTCTTTCGGTATAGCTGGGTGCCTGCAGCTCCAAGAATGAATTAATGGAGGCTGAATGGTGTTTTCTTCAAATCCGGAGCTTCGCCATTCGCAGTATTCGCGAAAGCACCCCGCTATACACCGTAGGTACGCCCATCTGCATGGAATGTCCAGCATCCAAGTGACCGGCCGCTGGTCACTACCGTGCACTGGTACATAACTAGCATTACACCGATGACATGACCGATGGAACTGGCATACAGATGGGTTGCGACCCAGTCTTTTCCAGAGACTGCAGCTTTTCCTTGCCCCGCTTAACGTCATAATTACAGCCACGGGTACGGGCGTACTGTAACGCCCTCCACAAGGATTCCTCAGAGTGTATATAAAAACTCTCTGTGTCCGCTGTTGGCTGCCCATCTCTGCCTATCTTCTTCTCTAGTATATCTCTCGGTGACCATCTCACTCTCATTCTCATTTGTCTCTTTGACTTTTTGACTCTCAAAGTTCAGTATGGGTGTAAGTTCCTGTCCCTGAGTCCTTCCAATGATACCCCGCCATTGTCTTCCTTAGGGTTTTTGCGACCCGCGGATTTCGGAAAATTTATATAAGTTTTTCTCCTTCTCGATGTGTATCTATGCCATCAAAATGGCTGACACCACCTCCCTCTGGGTTACCATGATATAATTAGCTCGCTTCAAAGATGGCTGCGGCACAGTCAGCCGCTGGTGGCCCTCCTTCGGGCTATCCTGGTGGTCCTCGGCCAGCTGGAGGTCCTATGCAAGGCGCATATGTGAGTTCGCCCATTCATAACCCCCAATACGCACACAGATATTGGATCGCAGGCAATGTCGATAGGACAGAAGTGGGAGAGATCTGAAAAAGGGCCTCTGCCAGACATGACCGCTTGTTTCCTGTGGATGCTTGTTCTAACTGCGTATCGCCATGGCAGCCTGGCCAAACCCAGCAATATCAGGCCTATCCAGGTGCGCAAACACAAGGTCCACCCCCAGTGGTAAGCGAATCACAGCCCCCCGCCAGCCCAGTAACCCGTTGCACACTAGTTTTGGCCTGAGCAAAAACCTGTCCAATCTGTTCCTTACCACTTCTCTCTTAACTACATCACCGTCCTCGCCTCTTTGTGCTTCATTATCCGTCTCTTCATCCTGTTTCCATCTTGCTGTTATCCGCCGGTGTCTCTTCCAACCAACCTCTCTCCTGGGGCGTACCTTTTTTGTTTTGAGTACACCGTTCTCTGCGCCGCAGTCATGCATCGACAGCATAATAGCCAACAGTATCCTGGTCAGTCATACCCGAGTTCGCCGCAACCTCCGTACCCCGCGTCTTCTCAACCGCCTCAACCACACCAATATGGACGACCAGGAATGCCTTCCACTCCATCTCCAGTTCCGGGTTACCAGGCTTCCTCTCGACCTCCGTACCAGCAGAATTATCCACAGCCTGCTTATGGCCAACAACCGCCAGGAGCATATGGACAACAACAGCAACCACCGCTGCCTCAGCAGCAGCAGCAATATGGAATGCCTCCGCAACAGCTTCCCTATGGACAGCAGCCTTACAACCAGCAGTACCCTCATGACCAGCAGTACCCTCAACAACACCAGCCCTATCCTCAAAATCAACCCCCTTACGTTCGTTGATTTCCTATCTTGTTCACGTCTCTCTTTTCTTAATTTTATTTTATTTAGCTCTTTTTTTTCTTCTTTTTTTCTTTTCTTTTTTCTTTTTCCGGCTTCGCCTACTATTTTTGCTCTCTAAAAGTCAATGCATAACATGAAAGCGTACTATACTAACAAACGATCATGATGACAGAAGCAGCCCGGCCAATATCCTCCCCAAGGCCATCCCCAGGGAGCTCCGGGTTATCCACCCCAGGGAGCTCCGCAATATGGTGCCCCCCCACAACCCCCCGGGCCTCAGTTGATTGCCGCCTATAAGCAAATCCTTTTGAGTACTGTTCAGGAAAAGAACCTTCAAGCAATGTACCCCCCAAATTCACCGGCCCTCGATCAAATTGCTTCACGAATCACCAACCAGGTTGATCAGCTCTGTGCTACATGGCGCGTTCCCCGGGAGGTGGGACAAGACATCATCAAACTTGCCCTTTTCGACATCATCCTCTACATCGATGACAGCGGCTCCATGCAATTTGAAGAAAATGGCGATCGCATCAAGGATCTCAAATTGATTCTCAACCGTGTCACTTATGCCGCTACGCTATTCGACGACGATGGCATTCAGATCCGCTTCATGAACTCTGACGTGCAGGGCGATAACATCCGCGGCGAACAGCAGATCGAACAACTCATCAACACCATTCAGTTTAAGGGTCTGACCCCGATGGGAACGAGCTTGAGGAACAAGGTCCTGGAGCCGTTAGTGCTTCGTCCAGCGCGAAGTGGTCAACTGAGGAAGCCAGTCCTGGTCATTACCGTTACTGATGGGCAGCCTGCTGGAGAGCCGCAGGGTGCTGTATTTGATGCTATTAGACAGGCGACCAATGAACTGCAATCGCTTCCCAAGTATGGGGCTGGCGCAATCTCGTTCCAATTTGCACAGGTCGGAAACGATTTGAAGGCCCGCGAGTTCTTAAGCAAGCTTGACGAAGAGCCCGGTATTGGTGGACTGATTGACTGCACATCCAGTAAGTAAACGATACTATGACAGGGCCAAAGAGATCGGTATTCCTAACAGCAACAAAAACAGACTTCGAAGTCGAACAGGATGAGATGTCCCGCGCCAACCCACCCGTCGACCTAACCCCAGAACTCTGGGTAAGTTTCGAGCAACCAACCACCCACCACCCACCACTCCATAAAAAACAAACACATAAGCAAAAGAGAGAGAGAGAAACTAACCAAACCAAACCCACCAGCTCACCAAAATGATCCTCGGCGCCATCGACTCCTCCTACGACTCCAAAGACGAAAAGTCAAACCATCCCTCTAACTCCGGCATCCGCCTTCGGCCACTGCAAGGCCAATACAGCACCCCACCCCCCCCCCAAGGCCAGTA